CAAAGTATTTCAAGAGAATATTTAATTCATTTATGTTTAGCTTGTATTATTTGAGTGTTTCCTTTATTTTTTTTAGCAGTACATATTTTTGTTTCTAAATAAAAAACTGATTTATAGATAAAAGTACAGAAAAAGTTCAAACTTGTGGCACTAGAAGGATTTAAAAGCAGTGAATGTAAATAACGGCTTGTGCAACTTGTTTTCTAGCATGGTAGAGTAATCTATACCTATTTTTACTACAATAAAATTACTAAATAAGAAAAAAAGCCTACATTTACTTATTTTAAAATTTACATTTAATTTTTATCATCTGTCAATATGTATTGCTTTAATGCAGTCTTTCATATGAATTTTTGAAATCACTTTAGGGTTAAAATATATAAAATTATGTATTTTAGGAAGATTAATTTACTGTATGTTTGCAAGCAGTAAGTCTTTCCTCATTTTTTTTCTTCATGTATTTTAGAATGGAGTAAACCCTAAATGGAAATGTATTTCATTCACTATTACTGACGAGTATGGCTTTAAGGGTGTTGGCCCAGCGTGACAGGGAAATGCAATCACGCTCTTTGGCACATTTGTTTTTCTACAGCTGCAGAAGTTGTCAACACATACTGTGTTAAAGTTCCATTTAATGCTTTCAGTTTATTTAGCTATTAAAATCCAAAATTTTAAGTCCTTTTGGAAACCAGAGGAAACAAAATCATAAATTGACATTTAGATTAACAAAAATTATTTTTCCTTATGCTGCAATCATGAAAAGATTATGTTTCTGAACCAATGAAGGGGTTAACTCAGTGCTGCCAAATAAGAATTGAAAGGAGAAAAAACAAGCACTAAGCATTAGTTTATATCAGAATAAACAGTTCAACAGTTTTGCTACAGTTTTTCCACTTCTTCGCTGCCAGCTGGAGGCAAGGGAGGAGTCTCTGAATCAAACCACTGTGGTAAAAAAAGAAAATGCTTTAAGAATGCGCTCACAGTGGAGGAACAGTCCACTTCAGGAATCAACTTTCCCATAATGTCCAGGGAGGCCTTAAAAGGACAGAAATAAATTACAGCTATTGTTTATATCAACAGTGTTTAGATTAGTTTCATTTTTTTCTCCTAAACTCCATGGATACATGTTCTCTCATTTGGTATTTATATAATTACTCTGATTATTACAAGAAACACAATTGAATATGAATATTTATGGGACACTATGTAAATTCCTGCCCATGTTGCTGTGACCCTCTCTGTTTATGTGTCACCTTACTTAGTGCAGGGAGAGCAGCTCCTCTCCTCTGCTATTTCAGGATCCCCTTAATTGGCAGCAGCTGTCCTTTTTAAACCTCTGCATTAAGCTCACTTTAACAACAAACCCAATTGGATCCAAACTCCCCTGCTCTACCAGTTAATTGCATTTTCCCTGTGCATGAGGAACAGTGTGTATGTAACACTAAACCGTTCATTGTTCCTCAGTTTTTGATGTTTAACTTTTCCCATTAATGTTTAACTGCGTCCTAAAAAGGCGCAGTAAAATGTTCTACCAGCAGAGGGCGCCGAAAGCTCAAACTACTCTGTTAATACAAGCTATATATATATATATATATATATATATATATATATATATATATATAGATATATATATATATATATATATATATATATATATAAATTAATTACAGAATAAACTAAATGTAATGCAAGTTCTTTGAATTTATTATACATTTTTTTAACAAGTGAAGAATTTGTCAGTTATTGCTCAGGACTGGAAGGTGAAGAGAAGGTCAATCAGGGAGTAAAAGATATTGCTATTTGTTTAAGGTTATATTGTTTTTTTTTCTATATTTAATTTATATCCCTAAAATTGCCAATTACAACACAGCATTAGAACACCGAGAAGGCGGGAAGATTCCTGGTTAAAATCCCTGAGACTAACTACACCATAAGAACCAATTTTTTTCTTAATGCATGAAATGATTAAATTAGGAACACTTGTAAAAAGAAAATGCAAATTTCTTGCCAACATGCACCAACCTTTCTCTTGGCAGTGACAGCAAAGCTTATGATGAAACATGTTAGGAGCAGCAGCGTTCTATGGGAATGCTTTTCTTCAGCAGGGAAAATGCAGAGAAATGCTGGAAGGAAAGCTGTTAGCTGCTGCAGAGAGTAAATGTCCACAATCTGGCAGGACGACAGCTTCAAATAAATCAGGAGTTTAGATTAAAGAATGGTACTATGCTGGGATGCTTGAGCCAAATCCAACTGAGAATCTCAGTCAGGATGAAAATTGAAGTTCAAACTATTCGTTTGAACTGTTTGTAAAACAAAGATTTTATGTTTTGAATGTATGATACTACTTTCTGCTGGGGTCAACCTTGCAAGCGGAGTTTTGATCCAATTCAGGGATCTACAACCTGGAGCCATAAATGGCACTTTGGATCCCTCGCAGTGGCTCAAAAGCTTTGTCTGAAAATTATACAGAATCAGTTGATGTTTTCAGATATGCAATAACGAAACCTGAGCTGTTTAAACATGTTTTCTTTTCTTTTACTCTAATTAAATAAGTAAACTGAATTTGTGTCAGAGAATAACACTAAAGGTGCCAGGGATGATATTTTAATATTAGGCAGTGACTGCAGTTTTCATGGCCGATCAACAACCTTTAAAAAGCCTAGGGTGCCGATCATTTGATTGATACCGATTCTTTTCCTAACAGCAGTTACATGATAACAACACATCTTCATTGTTTAAATCTTTTTTTTGTTTTTTTAAAGAAAGAACACTCGTGAAACAATAAATGTTTTAACTGCTTCATGAGGTAATGCTCTAAATTTAAAAAAAGAGAAGTTTTGAGCACTGACGGTGGCTGATTTTCAGACTTTTGCAGAAGTAGATTACTTAAGTGAATAAGATCAGTTTCAAATCTAAAGTGATTGATCGGCTGATCACTCATTTTCCATAATCTGAGGAAATCAGGGCTGATTGATCAATTTGGTCACTCTTTATTTTTTAGATATATTTCTCTTGCTATTAGATTTGAAAAAATGATTATTTATTACACAGTTTTCCACAGTTATCAACATTAATTAATTCAATTCATTTTAGTTTATTTATATAGCACCATTCCACAGGGAAAATCAGCTGATTAAATTGAATCACTGACTTGCATTTAGTCGTTGACTCTTCAGCAATCCCTCTCACCAAGCATGTATAGGATGAGAGTGGAGAAAAAAAAAAAACCTCCCTTTTAACAGGAAGAAACCTCAATCTGAACCAGACCCAGTGTGAGCGGCCATCTGCTGAGGCTGACTGGGGTTAAAGGAAACAGAAGCAGACATACAGAAAGAAGCAAAGATACAAAAGGTAACTGTTAACTAGCTCCACAGGCGGCCCTGTCAAGTAAAGACAGCAAGGCAGACGAGCTCCAAGCCAGTTCTCTCATCAGAGTATGAAAGAGAGCACATACAGTTAGACAGAGAAACAGGACTACACTAAAAAAACTTCAACATGTATAAGTGAAGGTGTTGATGGCAGCAGCATAGTTGATATTTCTCTCTTGGATGGTGTCACAGCCAAACAGGAACAGACCAGATGAAGCTACTATGATGAGAAAAAAGCAAAGAAAGCATAAAGTTAGAGGTCGAAAGACTGCAGAAAGGGAGAACAGAGATAGAATGATGTAAAGTAGTCCCTATGTCCTCCAGCTGTGTAAGCCTATAGCAGCATAACTTTTGAGAAAACTCAGGATAACCCGAGCCCCTCTAACTGTAAGCTCTATCAAAAATGAAAGTTGCAAAGAAGCAAAACTAATACTTTTATTGCAAAAATTGTTTTGTAAACTTAAAAGGAAAGAATAAAATGGCGTGGCCGTTCTTTAAAAGTGAAAAACAACAACAACATGCATACTAATTAAACAAAGATGATGTCTTTTATGCAGACACTTAGCAACTTCATTATATATATATATATATATATATATATATATATATATATATATATATATATATATATATATAGTGAAGGTTGGAGACCTCTGATCTGGGTCGAAGGAAATAAAATAAAATACTTCCACAAAATATTGACCCAATCGACACATAATGAATCCAAAAGAAGCAGGTTGGAGTTTGTGGTTCTATGCGTAAAAAGTTTGCATGAATCAGACTTCAGGCACTGTGCTGCATACTCTCCTCTCATAGGAGAGGAGTGTGGTCAGCGTGGGTCTAGGTGGCGTCTCCCCGCGCTGGGATTAGCTGTCCTTCTCTCTCAGCCCTCCCTGAATTCCATTCCGCCTTTTACTTTCTTTGCTTCCCTCTCTCCACTCAGGAGGACTTCGCCTGCGCGCATTCAGCTCCACTCAGACCAAATCACAGTCCCCCAGCTCCTGCTGTAACACACCAAGGAAAAGAAGCACGTTTTGGAGGTCGCGACTTTTTGGCGTGTTTCCGCAAGTCTCCCCCTCTCCTCCTCCTTGGGGGGACGCAATCTCCAGCAGGGAGCTTTTTTTTTTTTTTTTTTTTTCTTACCTGTTGATGAGGTCCCACGGGTGGCAGAAGAACAGGCGCTTAAAGTGTGGAAAGAAGTCGCTCCAGCTGCGGACCTCTGGATTTTTCCTCCCCTGCAGAAACAGTCTGTTTGCTGGGTAGGAGGAAAATGGGTTCTCCGACCTCCTGGAGCTGTGGACTTATCGTGTCTTTAATTCTCACATGTCAGCTTATTTCTGTAAGTGAACTCCAACTTTTATCTTTAAACCTTTGAATGTTCCATTTGGTTCGATCTAGACAAATAAAAGCATATATTCCTTTTTGGGTGTAAAGTGTCAGTAGCAGTAGAAAGAAAACTGTGTTAGTGTTATTTATGTTGCTTCAGGGCTTTCATGCAGGTGGGCTATAAAACTAAGCAGAGATGCGTTTGGGAGTAATCAGACAAACCAGAACCTCCTGATGAGTGAAGCCGGGCTAAGTTTGTCCACAGAAACAAGCTATTCATAGTCTCTCCCCTTCAGTGCTGAAGCTTTGCAAACTTTCTCCAGGCTTCACTCTGCATTTTAGACTCCCTGTTTTCAGTTAAAGGAGAGTGTGATTAAAAGCAGGAACTAATCTGATCCCTTAGGGTTCGTTTACCTTTAATGTTCCTTTCAGAATAAAATACGAGCTTCTTATAGAAATGTATGGAGAGCCAAAAGGACCATAATGCAATAAAAGATAAAATATTGTGTTATAACTAAAATACCCATCAATTTGACGGATAAAGGAAAATACTCTTCAATTATAGCAAAGATTAGGTACATATGTAAGTAATTAGAAGATTTGTTTTGAAACCCATTCCTCTAAAAATGTTGCAGTCATCTATAACGATTTAATTGCTCATATATATATATATGTATATATATATATATATATATATATATATATATGTGTGTGTGTATGTATGAATACATATATATATGTGTGTATGTATGAATACATATATGTGTGTGTGTATGTATGAATNTGTGTGTATGTATGAATACATATATATATATGTGTGTATGTATGAATACATATATATATGTGTGTATGTATGAATACATATATATATGTGTGTATGTATGAATACATATATGTGTGTGTGTATGTATGAATACATATATATATGTGTGTATGTATGAATACATATATATATGTGTGTATGTATGAATACATATATATATACACATAACAGTAATATTTGATTGGGTAATCTATTTTGTAATATAGACAAATAAAATGCATCTACCGGTACATTGTCTCACTGCATGAAATACGTAAATAAATTGCGAAATTATGACATGATTTTATATTACATCTTTTTGTATATTTATGATATAGTATTTTTTAATTTTCATTCTATTAAAGATATACTTGAGTATTTATTTTTTTATACCCGTGGTTTTATTGGAAAGGAAATGCTTCAACCTTATTTGTATCACATAGAAAAAGGTAAAAAGATCTTTTCCCTGATTTTTAGATTATTGCTTCTTTTTGCACAATATCCATCATTAGGCAATTACTTATTGATAAACGCTTTTAGGGCATTCATCTAATCGCTCTAATCTTACGTCTTTTGCATAAGTTAAATGCATGAATCAGAATTTGAAATAAATCAGATTTGATGAGAAACTGACAGTTTAGAAGATATAAAAAAAATGTTTGCTAAATTTTTGATCATGCATATAGAAATATGGTTTCACTTCCAGTAAATCACCCCATGCACTCCAGGGTGACTTACTCTTAACCAATTGCTGACATTACAGTCTAAGAACCCTGCTGTCTTCACGCTTCTATATCTGCTGTATGAATCATATAGCATATGATCATCGCCTTGCAGTTGAGAATAGCCTCCCCTCCTTAACAAACCCATGTTTGTCGCCTCTCTCACCTTTATGCCCTTTAATAAAAAGAGCTCTCATGGTTGATGACGTATCTGTGACACCACTGCTTCTGTTTGATCGAAAGTCCAGCTTCTCTGAATGATTTGAAGCCATTTTGGTGGCAAACACATAAATCTTTCACATTCCACATCCAGAGGATTAAGCAACAGGTATGTGTAGACTTTAGAGAAGGAGCTCCCAAACACTTCAGCTTGCAACCCCAAAAATAACAATGCAACAAACTGGTGACCCCCTAAAAATACATATAGTTACTTCACTCTGTATTTATATATTCATACATATAAAGTAAAGCCAATAAATGATTAGGGCAAAATCTATTGTTTATTTATTTTTTTTATTAATCACAAAGGAGATACTCTTATTAAATTAACATTTCTAATTAAATACGCAATTTGAATATAGAATTTTTTTTTTTTTTATTGTGCATTCTAAACAATTTGCAAATGACAAAACATGTAAATATATACATGTAATTATATTTAACAACAATCTTTAATAGAAAATGTATACATATTTTGTTTAAAAATGTTTATATGTTTTCTTTGTAGAGTTTTTTCTGTGTATCATCACTTGAAGTGACAGTTAGATTACTTAATTAGTTAATGATGGTTTGAAATCAACATTAATATGATTGTTTCAGCCTTGTACACGTATTTAGAAAAATAAAACAAACATTTTAAATTATATATTTTATTTAATAGCGAATTTAGCAATGTTCATACTCTCCATTTATCTCAGATTGATTGTGTAAACCATCCTTGCGACCCCACATCTGGTTTCTCAGGACCCTCTGGGGGTTCTCCACCCCTACGTTTGGAACCCCTAGGTTAGAAGGTTCAGCTGGGTCCAGTCCGGTTCTCCACAAATGAAATACTCGGCTCAATTCCATGGTCATCAGTTGTGTGCTGACAGTGGACGCTACCACAGCTGTGATTAATAGCCTAGCCAACAATAGCGGCATAATTGAATTAACCGGAACCACAAGCATCTGTTTCTTACATCGGGACTTTGAACTGCAGCAGGCTGACAACCTCTTGATTCAATTAGGCGCATGTAGGGGTGTTACTACAAGATGTTCCTCTGCTGGAATGTTACGGTCATGCGATTCAGCTCAAACAATCTGACTCCCAGTGGGTTGATGCTCCACATCGATTATGTTTTTCAGTGAGTATTCTGTGAACCACCTGCAGCATTTGGAGGTGAAGTTTAACAGATCAGACCCCTTTGCCATCTGCTTTTAAGGTCTCAAAAACATTCAAATTGTCGACCAAAGCCTTGTAGCTGCGTTGCTTCACACTTTAAAGTTGTTATTCCTAATTAAAAGAGAATTTAGTTTAAACCATTATAGGGCAAGTTACCATTTTAGATCACTTGCATACCCCTTATAAATGGAGTCCCCTCAAATCCCTCAGTGAAATCTAGAAGCACAAGATCTATATCCAGCCATTTAGCAAAGATACTGCTACATGGGTATTTTGACATTTAATCAATTAGATGAGCACTTGAATTATATATTACCTAATGCAAATTAAGTTGGAAAAAAGTCAAGAAAAAAGTAAAGTTAAAAAGTTAATAAGCCTAGTTAACAATTATATTTAGGTTTATAAACAAAAAAATGTAAGTTCCAGTATCAGCATTAATGCCTCTAAGGTTATGTTGTACCAAAAAAAAAAATGTTTCCTTCACTCTCAGAGTGTTTTTCATGAATTTCTTATAGAAGCACCTTTGTTATTTTTCTCAATATATATTCGAGCAAGTTGGCGTTTCTTGTTTTTACATTGTATTAAAATATCCATACTTTTTTAATGTTACAAAGGTAATAAAGTCTTGTCCTGGATTCCAATAACACTACTGCCTTGAAATGTTGATTTTTAAAGTATTTCACTGAGTGCCTTATAAAGGGTTAACGGTCTTTCACTGCTACTTGTTGAAAACAAAGCACGAGATTATTTCACTGTCTGATGATAGAGACATTGTCTGATACATTTAATAGCTATAATAGTTTGTATTCTAAAAATAATTTAGACCTTTAACATGTTGCATGACAGATAGAGGTTCCTTTTCTCTTCAACCTTCCTGTTAATAAAAGTTAATTCTCTCCTGAAGTTTCACCACCAAAACAAAATTCTCTCCACACATTTATAGAAAATCTTTTCTATTGCAGATGTCTTAAATCTCTGTTAAATTTTAAAAACCTCAGAGATATTGGAATAGTTAACTTTGATTCTTCTTCAGCTTTCACATTGAAATCTTGTGTTGCTGCGACCTGGATGTGCTATGGTTCATTCTCTCCTTGGAAAATGATCAAATATTAATTTCAGGACTGGTCTAGCCGAAAATCGACCAACTTTGTTCACTAGTTGAATAAAAGCAGTTTTTTTTTTCAGTAGTAGCATCTAGTGTTTGAATAGCAATCTACAGTGAATGTTCATTATCTGGAACTAGATACCAACCATCTAAATCATGGGTCTTCAACATTTACCAGGACAAGGACCCCCAAACTGATGGTGAGATGGAGCGGGGATCGCCTAATTATATATATTGAATGAAATAGTGTTCTATCAAACTGGTCCTATAGTCACTCTATTACAGATGGAGTCATGTAACGGAAGTAGTTTCTCCCTGGGATTATTAAAGTATTTCTGATTCTGATTCCTGGTTGATGGGACAGGTGTTGTGAATGAAACGGTGCCCAGCTTGAAAGAGCTCCTATGTGTCACTGAATGTGTGCATTGATGACTGAAAGACATCTTCTGCCTCCATTTATCTGTTTTAATACAGTGTGTTTAATTCATGTTTATGAGTATTTAAAGACTTTTCAATTAGTGGAAAAATTGCACGGGGTAATATTAAAAAAAGAGTGTTATCAACCAAAACTTTCGCGACCCCCATGCAGTACCTCCGTGGACCCCCTAGGGGTCAAGGACCCCCTGTTGAAGACCTACGATCTAAATCATTTGATACAGTCGATTTCTCAGAGAAGGACAAATGTTTGAGCACTATCCTGCCGTTTGATGCAGGTCTGCAACTTTTTATAATCCAAAGATCCTTTGTCTCCTTCAGTTCAGTCTAACCCTGATAGTTAATTCTTTTAATTTTGCAGGACCTTTTAAAAGAAAAAATACAACTTATACTCTTTGATTAAAAGATATATTCCACAGAAAGGTTGTTGTTTTTTTATAAAGAGCATTTTTATTTCTATTTATTTTCTTATTTTTATTTTAACAAATAAAAAAATCTATGTTAATATGGAGAATATGTCATAAAAAGCCCTAGTTTCCGAATTAGTGACAAGAAAATACTATCTGGT